ATCATCGCCTGGGCCGAACAAGCGCGCGTGCACTTCGGCCGACCCATCCGTCGCCTTCACTCTGACGGTGGCGGGGAGTTTCTCAACCATACCATTGCCTCCTACTGCAAAGCACATGGAACTCAACAGACGTCCACTCTCCCTCATTCTCCGCAACAAAACGGTGTAGCTGAAAGTCGCATCCGTGAGATCACCAAAACTGCCCGCTGTCTCCTCACCCATGCATCTACCCCTCCCTCCCTTTGGGGCTATGCTCTCAGTCATGCCGCCCTTCTCACCAACCTCTACCCTCACCCCCACCATCCCAACCTCACTCCCACTGAGCTTTGGTGCAACTCCAAACCTGATGCCTCCGTCCTTCGCGTCTGGGGCTGCAAATCCTTTGTTCTCATTCCTCCCGCAGACCGTTCCCGCAAAGCAGGAAAACTTGCCTCCAAAGCATTGGAGTGCGTCTACCTCGGCCACAATCGTGGCTCTCCTGGGTACCTCTTCCTTCATCCTCCCTCCGGACGCCTCATTCGCAGCCGCGATGTCGTCTTCGATGAAACCATCCCCTACTACTCCTCTCCTCCTCCCTCCGACCCTCTCCCCCCACCCTCCCGCCCACTCACCTGGGCGGATGCCCTTCTTCCTCCTCTCCTCCCATCTGCTCCACTCCTCCCAACTACTCCACTCTCACCTCCACCTTCCTCGGCTGATATCTACGATCCTGCTGCCTCACCTGCCCTTTCCACCGCTCCCCCTCCTCCCTCTCCCCCTCCTCCCTCCCCTCCCACCCACCTCCCTCCAGCTTCTCCTCCTCCATCCTCGCCCGCCGCACCTCCTGCATCCTCCCCACGTCCTCGCACTTCTCTCACCTCACGCTCTCCCTTCCTCCTCCCACGCATGCACACTCGCTCCCTTGACCCCATTCTTGGTCAACCACCTCTCATTCATGAAGACTCCCATGAGGAGTTTTGTGCCATTCACACTCACGTTCCTTCCCTTAACCCTGTGTACCTTGCCCTTTTGGGCGCGGTTGTACTTGGCACTCCCTCCTCACCTCTCATCTTCACGCCTACCACATTCCAGGAGGCAATCACGTGCCCTGACGCTGACAAATGGCTGGAGGCCATTCGCAAGGAGTGCGACGCCTTCATTCGCAATGATTCCTTCGTCGATGTCAAGCCGCCTCCAGATGCCAACATTGTCGCTGGCAAGTGGGTCTTCCGGGTGAAGCAGCTTCCGGGGGAGGAGCCCGTCTACAAAGCCCGTTACTGCGCCAAGGGCTTCACACAGACCTATGCCAAGGACTTTTGGGAAACCTTCTCACCTACCGCAAAATTCGGGACCCTTCGCACGCTTCTCGACTTTGGCTCCCGCAACGGCATGGAGATCTCATCAATGGATGTCTCTAACGCTTTTCTTCAGGGGAACCTCCACGAACAAATCTTCCTCGACCGCCCAGATGGCTTCCATGAAGCCTTCCCACCAGACACTGTCTGGGAACTACGCCGTCCAGTCTACGGCCTGAAGCAGGCTCCTCGGGAATGGCATGCTAAGCTGGCATCTACACTCTGTGCTCTCGGATTTCAACCATCTCACTCTGACGCCAGTCTCTTCATTCGGACCCGTCCCAGCCGCTTCTTCGTCCTAGTCTATGTTGACGACATGGTGCTCCTCGCCGACACCTCCGCCGACATGACCGACGTTAAGGAAGAACTACAAGCTCGTCTCCAGTGCAAGGACCTTGGCGAATTACGCCACTACTTGGGCATGGAGATCACACGCGATCGAGCTGCCCGCACCATCACCTTATCTCAATCTCACTATCTTCAGCAGGTGTTGGAGCGGTTCGACATGGCTCTCGCCAACCCAGTGGCCACTCCCCTTCCATTCGGCCATGGGCTTGCTCCACCCACCTCCCCCTCCGCCTCCACTCAGCCCTATGCGGAACTGGTTGGCTCCATCATGTATGCCATGATGGGGACCCGTCCCGACCTCGCCTACCCCATCAGCGTCCTGGCGCGTTTCGTCGGTACCGGTCGTCACACCTCCGTGCATTGGAGAGCCGCCAAACGAGTCCTACGCTACCTCCGTGGCACTCAGGACCATGTTCTCACCCTTGGTGGTGCCTCTCCCCCGCTCCTCACCGGCTTCAGTGACTCGTCTTGGGCAGACTCTCAGCCGGATCGCCGCTCTTCCCAAGGATATGGCTTCACGCTCGGTAGCGGCTTGGTCAGCTGGCGCTCCACCCGCTCCTCCGCCATCGCCCTCTCATCTTGTGAAGCCGAACTCTATGCTGGTACCATGGCTGCGCAGGAAGGACGCTGGCTTTCCTTCTTGCTAGCCGAGCTTGGGGCCCCCCAGCCATGCCCCACGCTCTGGTGCGACAACGCCAGCACGATCCACCTCACCAAGAATCCGGTCTTCCACGGGCGCTCCAAACACATCGAACTACGCTACTTCTACATTCGCGATCTTGTCCAGCAAGGCCATCTTGCCGTCCGAAAAATTGCCGCCGAAGCCAACCTCGCTGACATCTTCACCAAAGCTCTTCCGAAGCTAGCCCACCGGGCCTTCCTTCGCCTTCTTGGCCTCTCCCCGGCTTCATGATTCGGGGGTTGTGCACACTTATAAACCTCTTATGCTACGGGGTTGTGTTAGAATATAGCATAATGTATGTTTATATTTGTGCATGTGTTACACCCTAAAGTGGGTGTACACTTTGGGTCAAGGCGACCCAACCAATTTTGGTTGGGCGCCCCCAAACCCAACTCGACCGCAATTGACGGGGGGGGCCCAATAATGGTCCCCTCCAACGATTGTTGGTTACCCCAGCAATTGTTGGTCGACCCAATCTGATTGGTCCACCAATAAATGCTGAGGGTACCCCACTTCGTTCCCAAAACTTCTCATCTCCTATATGTACCGACACTCTTTCTAATCAAGACAACACTTGAGATTCTTTCATGCCTAACGTGTCTACATGGAGCATGCCTAACGTGTCTACATGGAGCATGCCTAACGTGTCTACATGGAGCATGCCTAACGTGTCTACATGGAGCATGCCTAACGTGTCTACATGGAGCATGCCTAACGTGTCTACATGGAGCATGCCTAACGTGTCTACATGGAGCATGCCTAACGTGTCTACATGGAGCATGCCTAACGTGTCTACATGGAGCATGCCTAACGTGTCTACATGGAGCATGCCTAACGTGTCTACATGGAGCATGCCTAACGTGTCTACATGGAGCATGCCTAACGTGTCTACATGGAGCATGCCTAACGTGTCTACATGGAGCATGCCTAACGTGTCTACATGGAGCATGCCTAACGTGTCTACATGGAGCATGCCTAACGTGTCTACATGGAGCATGCCTAACGTGTCTACATGGAGCATGCCTAACGTGTCTACATGGAGCATGCCTAACGTGTCTACATGGAGCATGCCTAACGTGTCTACATGGAGCATGCCTAACGTGTCTACATGGAGCATGCCTAACGTGTCTACATGGAGCATGCCTAACGTGTCTACATGGAGCATGCCTAACGTGTCTACATGGAGCATGCCTAACGTGTCTACATGGAGCATGCCTAACGTGTCTACATGGAGCATGCCTAACGTGTCTACATGGAGCATGCCTAACGTGTCTACATGGAGCATGCCTAACGTGTCTACATGGAGCATGCCTAACGTGTCTACATGGAGCATGCCTAACGTGTCTACATGGAGCATGCCTAACGTGTCTACATGGAGCATGCCTAACGTGTCTACATGGAGCATGCCTAACGTGTCTACATGGAGCATGCCTAACGTGTCTACATGGAGCATGCCTAACGTGTCTACATGGAGCATGCCTAACGTGTCTACATGGAGCATGCCTAACGTGTCTACATGGAGCATGCCTAACGTGTCTACATGGAGCATGCCTAACGTGTCTACATGGAGCATGCCTAACGTGTCTACATGGAGCATGCCTAACGTGTCTACATGGAGCATGCCTAACGTGTCTACATGGAGCATGCCTAACGTGTCTACATGGAGCATGCCTAACGTGTCTACATGGAGCATGCCTAACGTGTCTACATGGAGCATGCCTAACGTGTCTACATGGAGCATGCCTAACGTGTCTACATGGAGCATGCCTAACGTGTCTACATGGAGCATGCCTAACGTGTCTACATGGAGCATGCCTAACGTGTCTACATGGAGCATGCCTAACGTGTCTACATGGAGCATGCCTAACGTGTCTACATGGAGCATGCCTAACGTGTCTACATGGAGCATGCCTAACGTGTCTACATGGAGCATGCCTAACGTGTCTACATGGAGCATGCCTAACGTGTCTACATGGAGCATGCCTAACGTGTCTACATGGAGCATGCCTAACGTGTCTACATGGAGCATGCCTAACGTGTCTACATGGAGCATGCCTAACGTGTCTACATGGAGCATGCCTAACGTGTCTACATGGAGCATGCCTAACGTGTCTACATGGAGCATGCCTAACGTGTCTACATGGAGCATGCCTAACGTGTCTACATGGAGCATGCCTAACGTGTCTACATGGAGCATGCCTAACGTGTCTACATGGAGCATGCCTAACGTGTCTACATGGAGCATGCCTAACGTGTCTACATGGAGCATGCCTAACGTGTCTACATGGAGCATGCCTAACGTGTCTACATGGAGCATGCCTAACGTGTCTACATGGAGCATGCCTAACGTGTCTACATGAAGCATGCCTAACGTGTCTACATGAAGCATGCCTAACGTGTCTACATGAAGCATGCCTAACGTGTCTACATGAAGCATGCCTAACGTGTCTACATGAAGCATGCCTAACGTGTCTACATGAAGCATGCCTAACGTGTCTACATGAAGCATGCCTAACGTGTCTACATGGAGCATAAGGAGAAGGAGGCAGCAGGGAAGGAGGTGGCTCGGACTGTGAGCAGCGTTGGGGTGGCGGGGGAAGGAATGGAGCAGCGCACTGTGTCAGTCTAGAGCGTACCTTGGAAGTCGAAAGGCGTGGTCTTGGGGGCGGTGGTGGGTTCAGAGGAGGAGGAGGCAGGGAAGGAGGTGGCGCGGATTGTGAGGAGACTTGGGACGGCAGAGGAGGGGGTGGAGCATTGTACTGTAGCAAGTGCGTTCCCTGCATAGATTGGACTGTGGAGGGGGGAAAGGGGGGAAGAAAAGAAGAAGCAGAGAGGACAATGGGGAATAAAGGGTGAGCGTGGAGCAGCAAACCGTGGCAAGAGCGTTCCTTGCAGAAATTGGGCTGGGGTGTGGCGGAGGGGGGGAAAGGGTGTAAGGAGGAAGGGGAGTGGGGCAGGAGGCCTGAAAAATACATCATCGCCCTTCACCTCCCCTCACTGCACCCCTCCCTCCATTTCCCCTTTCCTCCCCTCCCGTCACCGCACCCCCCGACCTCCCTCTGCCCTCTCTCCTCTCACCGAGTGAAGGTCGTCTCACCCTTTGGATTCGAAAGGGAAGGCCAACTCTCGCCCTCAAACTTCCTATTGCAATTTTTGAGGCGCCTCGAAGAAGGCCAACTCTCGCCGTCAAAATTCCTATTGCACAAACCGTTCGCCCTCTCCCCTCCTCTCCCCCCCTCTTCCCCCTCCCCCGTCCCCCATTTCCCTGATCCTAAAAAATATACCACCACCCTCACCCTCCCCTTACCGCACCCCTCCCTTCCCCTCCCAATTACCGCACAAAAGTCTTCTCATCCACGATTTCAACCACATCAGACACCATCGCAGCGTCCAATAGCGCGGCGACACGTGGCAGCACGTTCCGGGAGAAGGTGGACGAGGCGGCGAGCACGTGCGAGAAAGACCGCTGAGTGGCGAGGTTTGTCAGTAGCGCCACCAGGGGCTCGGGCAGGGCGTGGTCCAGGGCGGGGCTCTCTGTTGTAATCACCTGAGAAATATGACATGGGAGGGAGGTGGGGATAAGGAATGTAAGCGAGGTGACTTTTGAGTCAACTCAAAAGGCTCTCTGTTGTAATCACCTGAGAAATATGACATGGGAAGGAGGTGGGGATAAGGAACGTAAGCGCTGAGGACAGGCAGGGCATGCCATTACTTCCCTTTGGCAGCCTAGTGTATGAGTGATAATTGTACTCACAAACGTTTTTCGATTCCAAGGTTTCAAGTAAGTCGCGATTTTTGTGATGTTTCTTTAATATCTTGAAATTAATTACCCACCTCATCCACCCCTTCAATCTTCGCAACAGCAGCTGCCACGTCAGCAACCGCGTCGCCACTCCCCGCCACCAGCACGGCCACGGGTCCGCCAAGCTTCCGTGCAGCCGCCACTGCGGACAGCGTGGGCGGCTTTAGGGCGGCGGCGGAGCCCCCCGCGCCCCTCCCCGTGTGCTCCGCCACCACTAGCGTGCTGGCCTGCGGAGTGGGGAGTAGGGGCAGGGGGATAAGCGGGACGGGACAGGGGGACAGGGAAAGAGGACAAATGGGGGGAGGCGTGACGGGCGGGAGAGCGTGGGCGGATTCAGGGCGGCGGCGGAGCCCCCTGCGCCCCTCCCCGTGTGCTCCGCCACCACCAGCGTGCTGGCCTGGGGTGGGGGGAAGGGGGGAGCGGAGGGGGGGCGCGAAAAAAGGGGATAGTGGGGCCGCGGCGGAGCTCTCCCCCCCTCCCTCTTTTCCCCCTTTCCCGTGTGCTTCGTTAGTACCAGCGCGCGCTGAGGACGGGAAAAGGGGGATTACGGGGAAAAGGGGCGCATGGGCGCGACGAGTGAGGAACGGCGGGATGGAGATATGGCGGCGGCCGCGGCGGAGATTGCTGAAGAGGTTGAGCCTGGTGTGCCCCGTATTTTTTTTAGTCTTTGTGAAATGAATGGAAAAAAAAAATCACAAAAAGCACAAACAAACCTCGACAACATCAAGGGCCCATTGAAGAACGTTCGTAATGGGATCACAAACGTGAAGTGATCTCATCGCGTCGCGAGATCACAAAAACGGGTTCCAGCAGAAGCGGTCTCACGAAAGCAACTACTGTGAGACCAACCCATCGAAGCGCGAGGACATCGATGAGACTGCGCGCAACGAAGTTACACTGTATTCGTGTCTAGCGCGTTCTTCCGGAATCGTTTTACCCAAGGCCCTGTCTACCACATGACTAACCCATCGAAGCGCGAGAACATCGAGGAGACTGCGCGGATGCGCGGAAAAGCCGCTCTGGAACGACCCGACAGCGCGGTTCACGGCGCCAGACGCGCCACTACTCCGTCTGAAATCGCCCGCGACGCGACGCAGAAGCGTGGCCATCTCGCGCTGACGGCGGAAGGCGGAGGGCGGAGGGATGAGGGCGGAGGGAGGAGAGCGGGGGCCGGAAACCGGAGCGTGGCGAGCGAACGGGGCGAGGCGGCGAGCTGAGCGCGTCAGATAGCGGAGGGCGGAAAGCGGAGACCGACTGGTGGATTGGCGGGCGGAGATGGTTTGCGGCGAAGGGCAAAATAGCCGGCAGGCTGGTAAGCGGGATTGACTACCCCGTCGAAGGGGGCACGGGACGGGAGGGACTGGTTTAGCGCGGGAGATACGGCTGCTGGTCCGCGCTGCTAGCTTCTGCTGTAATACACATTGATTCTGGGGCATAAGTTCCGCTGCTGCTAAGAGCTACCGCACTGCACTCCGTGATATGGTATTGTATTACACTGGTGTTGCTGTGGTGGTGCTGCCACTTTGCGCTGAGTCAGCGCCACGTGGTTTGAAGCTGCGTCGCGCTGTCGAGTTTTCATTTCCCAGAAGCGAAGCAGGAAACGACTGACGAAATGTAACGAATTGCACAAAGGCTTTTCGTCGATCGCAACGCATGTGACTTTCAACTTCGGGTCCAGCGGCAAACAACTCAGAAGCTCTCCCCTCGGAGTTCCGATTGGTTATCGACTCTCTGGGCGAAGACATTCATGTTACACAAAGTGGTTCTAGACCGTCTAAGATTGTTCTGCAACGTACTTAACCGTCACTTTATAACCCAGAGAGATTGGTCTGGTGACAGCAGTGCTATCTGCGAACTGACAACAACGTGCGAAGAGATTACCACAATAATAGAGATTTCGAAACGAAAACTGACGTCATGTGAGTTTCGCGAATGCTGTTGTTCCGTGGAAGGCTCCGACCCTTTCCGAAGGGTTCGTCTTCCTCCACTTTCGCAGCAGCGCAACAGGCAGAAACGTCGTCGAAGCAGCCAGAGCGACTTTCCAGAACCTCCTACGGCCCAAACATCCCTGTCGCTTAGGCTGCTTCGACGGCGCTTGGTGTTCAATCCCAGTCCGGCTGGAGCGTGCGTAGCTAGCGAGTATTTACAGCGCCATGGCGGCTTTAATCCGCAATCAAGCGCCTAACGAGCTTCATCCTACTCGTGTACCTCCCTTCAGCCAATTTTCCATTCTCGCGTCGTTTTGAACCCATCAGTATCGCCGTGATCACTGCTGTCGCCGCTGACATCATGGCTCCAGTCAAGGTCTACGGCATGAACATGTCGACCTGCACCAAGAGGGTGCTCACCACTCTCGAGGAGGCGGGTGTTACGGTACGACTTGGTTATATAAAGAACGAAGAACTAGATTTCTTTTTCAGCTGGGGATGTCGCTTTCCTGCCTCCTCGTTTTGTAATAGTAGAAAATTAAGCAACTCCAATTGTTTTTCTTTTCCTCAGGACTACGAGGTGGTTACAGTGGATCTCCGGAAAGGGGAGCACAAGTCGGAAGAGTTCAAGAAAAAGCAGGTGGGCGGCAAACTCCCACGCTCTGACGCAAGCATTCCTCTTTTCGAAAATCCCCATATACAAGCAAAATCACCATGGTATCTGTCCGTTTTCGCTACACAACAGCATCAGATGCAGCTCGTTACATTCACACGACCATCGGATTTTCAGCGTGTGGGTTCATTTCGAATCTGTCTGTTTTCCTCTCTGGCCCTTTTACTGCGCAGCCCTTTGGAGTGATTCCCGTTCTCGATGACGGGGAGGTTCAACTCTTCGGTACGGTTTGTATTTTCTCAAATTCTTTCTAGCACCTATTGAGCTCCATCCATTTTCCACTTCTGAACACAGCTAATTTCGCTTACACAGGAGTTTTCTGCTCAAATGTTCCTACATTTGTTCCATATATGCTATATCTTTGCTCAAAACGGCATTGTGTTCACCTGAATGTCTTTCCCCGATGGTCTTCATCAGAATCGCGTGCCATCGCTCGTTACATTGCCGAGAAGAATGCCAGCCAAGGCACTGAACTTCTCGGCTCCACACTCAAGGTATTCAAGTCAAAACACTTTTCCACACCTTAGTTTGCCGAAACGTTTATCGCCTAGTCCTACACGCCTGCCAGTTGCTACCAACAGTGAGAGTCGATTGCCTCCACGTGTGTCTGTTGATTCAGCTTAGATAGTTTCTCAGTGTGCAAGAGCGTGCGCTGGTGAATCAGTGGGTTGAAGTGCAGGGATAGAATTCTCTATTGTAAGGCGTGTGGACATTTCTCAGAATGCGTATGCTGTGTGTTTTCGTGTCGTGCAGGAGCGTGCGCAGGTGAACCAGTGGTTGGAGGTGGAGGCGCAGAACTACAACCCGCCCCTCTCAGCGCTGATCGCGGAGAAAGTGTTCAAGCCCATGTTCGGTGGGGGCGAGCCCGACCTGGCTAAGGCGGAAGAGCTCAAGGCGAAGGTCAGTGACAAGAATAGTCAAGCAATTTATTTCTGTTTTCTATTTGGTTCTCATCGGCGGAAAAAACATAGCCCTTTGCAGTGAGAATGCCATTCAAGCGATCTATTTCTGTCCACTTTCCGCATGCTCTTTCGTAATTCAACTATTTTTCGCAGTTCTCGAAGGTTCTCGATGTGTACGAAGCTCACCTGGCCAGCAACGAGTACCTGGCGGGGTCGAATTTCTCCCTCGCGGATCTGTCGCACCTGCCCTACACGGCTCTGCTGTGGGTGTCAGGAGATTCGGATCTGATAACCTCGCGTCCGAATGTGAATGCGTGGTGGGAGAGGATTTCCTCTCGCCCTGCCTGGAAGAAGGTTTCCGCGCTGCAGTGAGAGAGGAGGATGCAGCTATTATCCACGTAGCTGGATGTATGTACAGAAAAATGTTTATGAACCCATTATCAAGCTCTGCTGCAGCAGGTTTTGAAACTTCAAATTGATTATGGACAGATTTGAAAGCACTTGATGATCACCTCTGGCATGATTCAATTTACCTCTCCACCTTCCTGTCATTAATTTCGAGGCCATCAATCCATGTCAATCACAAATTATTAAGTTATAATTGTTGGGCTGAAAAGGTCTTAGGATCTTTACAGGACTAAACTCCTGGTAGGACTGATGTAATAGCGGAAGTGTTTTAAAGAAGAGTTGTGAACCACCTTGCGCTGGTATATGAGGGCAAAGTAGATTAATTAAAACAAAGAGATACAAGCTTTTATAAGAGTACAAGGGAATATGAAGGGTTATAACTAATAACTGTTTTGCTGTTGCTGTTGCGGTTCGTTACAGTGACGACTCGGGCAACTGCTCAATAGTGAGTCAGTTGTTTGTCCTTGCTGTCGTGCTGTACTTGTCAGGTCAAAGGTCACTGACCTTTGACTTTCGCGTAACCTCCAGCAGTTGCTCAACCTCCGAGGATTGACTCGCTGATGCTTCGATATGTTGTGCTTCGCTTCTGACTTGGTGTTTCGACACGACAGGGGCGCTTAAATCAATTGTTTCCAACACTCCCCTTCGCTTCTGGAGTGTCGCTGCTGGTGACGTGGCTCTGTCCAGTCAGCAGCATGCAGTACTCGAACTTCTGTTTTCCGAGTTTCTTGGTCAAGTAATCAGCTGCCATCTTGGACGTGGGGCAGTAGGATAATTCGAGTCTCCCCTTCTCGATCTCGACTTTCACGAAGAAATATCGCAGGGCGATATGCTTCGTCCTGTTCGCGAATCCGTTTTTGTTGGCTATGCGAATTGCTGACTGGTTGTCGCAGAACAGAGTGAAGCTGGGTAACTGAGCCAGCTTCGCTTCCTCCAAGAGTTCGCGAAGGTACAATCCTTCCTTGGTGGCTGAGCAGAGTGCGATATATTCTGCTTCAGCTGAGGAGAGAGCGATTAATTCCTGCTTGCTTGATTGCCATGAGATAGGTCCGATAGGCTCGAGGCGGTAGATGTAGCCTGTGCGCGAGCGCCTGTTGTCAGAATCTCCGGCGTGGTCGGCGTCGACGTAGCCGATTAACTTAGGCGTTGTAGTTCCGTTCTTGTAGTAGGTCAGGCCGATCGTTGGCGTGCTGACGAGGTAGTGAAGAGCGCGGTCGAGCTCCGACATGTGTTCAGCTTCAGGCCTTTTAAGGTAGGTGGCGAGTTGACTTGCGGAGTATGATAGGTCTGGGCGGCAAGTGACAGCTGCGAAGAGAAGGCATCCCAGCTTCCTCTGGTAGTCGCGTATCCCGGCAGGCTTGAGTAGAGTGGGCCTTTCCTTGTGATTTCCTGCCGTGTAGCGATATGGCGTAGAGATGGTAGTTGGCGTGAGTGCGAAGCGTTTGGCGATGGTGTCGGCGTATTTTGCGGCGTTGAGGTAGATCGCGCTTTCTCCTTCCTGGATGTTGAGGCCGAGGTACTGCGTGACGGTAGATGAGACTGTGAGCGTGAGGTCTTTCTTGAGAAGAAACGAGGAATGGGGATGACTAAAGGAAAGTTGGGTACAAAAGCAAACCCTAGAAAACTATACCCCATATGTGCTACCCCACTATAGCCTACAGTAGCTATGTCATATAAATCTGACACACCCCCATAGGCAAAGTGGGGGAGAACAAGGGGTCACAAGACCAGTCAAGCAAAGCAAAAACAAGCTCAGGGTGGATCACAAAGTCACCACACATTCCGAGCACAAGTTCAAGGCCACAAGGCCAGTTCACATGCAGGATTGCATATATATATAAGGCTAGACAAGCAAGAGCAGGTGTATATATATATGCAACAGTACAAGCAAGGTCAAGGGGTGAGCAAGTGAGGCAAGGTAGGCACAAGACCCAGCTGAGTACAGAAGCGCTGATGATCACACGGCGGAAGTGCCTTGGTGAAGATATCAGCAGTGTTGGCCTCAGAGGCCACGTACGCAAGCCGTAGCTGACCACGCTGCTGTAGCTCACGAGCAAGGAAGTAGCGGAGAGCAATGTGCTTCGTTCTGTGCTCCAGTCTCTGCTCTCGACACAAGGCCAGCATGGCCTTGTTGTCTACGTACATCACTGGAGGAGAACGAGGCGGCTCTCCGAGGTCAGTGAGCAGGTAGGTGAGCC